ATACAGCATTTATTTCTCAGAAACTATTCCTATAGCATTTTACGTGACTAGTTATTTAGAAAAATTATTTAAGAAGTAAATTAACTTTTGGCCTGAACTCCTTAACACAGGTCTTTTTAAAGAAGGGTTGAAGCCTTTACTTAAGTGAAATATTTGGTTTTGGCAACTAGGTATTTTTTGACATGAGTGCATTATTTTTTTCTCTAAAATAATGCTTACTTCCAATTTATTTATACTGTAGCTTGATATGCTTATCACATTTACAAAGACAAACTATGTAATTTCTTGTCATGGTCTATAGCAAAGATGTTTACAATGGTATTTGTATATTAATTTGGATTAGTACAATAACATACTATTTCCATTTTTAAAGGTGTAACTCTGAGTGATGCCAATATTTGCCTCTAACAAGATGATACTCTGTCATCCTGAAACAGAGCTATATCAGCAAAGGAGACCATCTGAAAAAGAATATTAATTAGAAAAAAATCAGAGTATTTTTGCATACTTAGAAAGACTAGGCTAGTATAAGTGAAGAGAGAAAAGAAAAGCACAAAAAAGCCATGCCAAAATAACGCTTTGAATAAAGCCTAAATACGCAAAGCAGCACACAGACCTAACGCTGCTGAAGCTTACTCAAAGCACTCCTGTAGTAAGCAGGTATTTTGGCACAGAGCCTAAGTCTCCTACCAGAAACATCCATAAAATGAAGCATATCAACTGCAAAAATTGTTATTTTACAACCATGGTTTAAGAGTACACATGGAGATAAATACCAAGTGTACTGCTTGTATAACGATGTCTGCTAATTCTGCCGTCAAACCGCATACAAATCCCAACTCCTTCCATAGCTCTCTCCCCTGTAGGACACAGTCAGGGTATGCTTGATTGCAAAGAAAAAGGTATCTTAAGGTAAATTCTGTGGTCACTTTTATAAAAGAATGTATGATTTTCTGGCACAGATCAAGACTTGCCTCTGTGATCTTTGAGCACGTCTTTAGAAAGGCTAGTTTGAGGAGTCTGGAACAAAGGATTCTGAGTTGCTGATAGTGCTATTGTCAGATATATTGCTGTGTACTATCAGACCAAAAGAGTAATGCTTCTGATAGGAAAAGGAGGTATTACGTTATTTCATAATTAATATATGTTCCAAATGATAGCTTGTGTTTCGAGTATTTAACATTACAATAAGAAACTAAAAGCAAATGGAGGGATGATGTGACACTTCTGGAATTGGATTCTTGGGTATAATCTTTCTCTACTATATTTTCTGATCCAGCTAAAAAGCTTTGTAACTGGTTAAAACATGCCCCATGCCTCCCGACTGTACGAACTGTCAGAGCCATTTGGATTCAGAAAAGGATTATATTCTCCTCTGTTTTTAATTAACATATTTCTGGTCATAGTCAAAGCAGTGCTGAGCAATTTCCATTTAACATTTCTCATGCATCTGAATTCTAATCCACCCACTCCTTTTGATAAGACATTGAGTAGTGACCTGAAAATAGTGCTGCAAAGTAGTTTGAGAAAGAACTTGGAAAAAAAGATTGCAGTGTTAAAAATCTGTTAACCATTGGTTACTATTTAAACTGCTAATGATCTAACAGAGCTGGAGCCGAGACTCTAATTTACTAGCTAAGGTTTGCAAAACATTCACTCTCAAATATAACTCCCTGTATATAGTTACATTTACAGGGGAAACAAGCTATAAACAGAAGAAAGAACAACCTCCACATACCAGTGGCAATGAATGCAAAGCCAGGACGCACTATGATGGGACATGACATGCATTTTCTCCATACATTTGAATTTTAAAGTTTTAATGAAAGTATATTGTCAGGGAATGCCAAAGCCCACAACGTATTTTCCATTTGCAGTGCTGTGACAAGATTCTGCTTCTTGTTGCAAATATGAAAACATTTTGTATTAAATGCAAATAGAATGTGCAAGAACAAAATTGAACAAATTCCTCCAGTAAAACTGCTCCCCATCCAATCTAAAGGAAGCCATTTTCAAAGAGAAAAACATTTGATTTAATTTCTTATGAAGCCTCTGCCAGACATTCAGACAGTGGCTGTTGGAAAAATCCTTCTTGCATCAAGAAAGGTATAAAGTTAAAGCCCCTTTAGCACTTCCTGAAACATAATCAGGAAAACAAATAATTTACTCTATTAAAAAATTAAAATTGAAATAAATACATCCATATAGAAATAACTGAGTCTTAGTGTTAATTTTTTTTTTTTTTAAAAGAAAATCCACAACAGCCAAAAAAATGTAATGTTCATAAGTCAAAAATAAAATTTAATTTAGAGCTCTTTCTGTAGGGTATTGTTACCGAGTTCCTGTATGTTAAAAAACTAAATTAAGTTGTTCCCCTGGGTTCATAATAAACTGTTTTTTCTTTTTCCTTTCATGATGGTTGCCAGTTTTAGTTCATCCCACCCCATTTCTTGCTACGGGCGTCTCTTCAATTTTTGGCCAAATTCCAGGCTCTTTTTAAGCTATACAAGGTTAATGTCGGTGCGTGGTATCCAGTATGAATAAATGGCATAGAAACTGGCAATCTAGGTTTTATTCACTAGTCTCAGGTGTGGCTCTTAAAAAAATAACTGATAAAAAAATCTGTCCTATTTGAAGAAAGTACCATATCCTAGTTTGACTGCACATTTGTTTTTACCAATATTATACCGAGATATTGCAGTATTATAAGATTTCATGAAACAAAACTCAGAATGGGCCTTCTGCTCATGGATAACAGGACTCATTTTTCTGTCACTGAGATCAAATTATTTAAAAATGAAACCTTGGCTAAATTCAAACTCTGCAGGGAGGAATCAATATATCTAGCACCGGATCACACAACCCCTGGCATGCCAGGGAGCACTTACAAGAGGAGCACTGTGTAATATTGAAACTAACGGGGCCACTCACAGATGTAGTAGCTGCCAACTAATATGAGCCAAGGTTACACAATCCAGCCCTAAATAAGACTAATCACTTAAATTTGGCAGTAGCATTGCAATAAAAAGATTCATAATTCATAGTGAAGAAGGCAAAAATGTGAACTTTAGCAAAAAGACTGCAACACAAAGTCATATATCAAGAGACAATTATGGATCTCAAATACCAGAAAGCAGAACAGGCGGTGACTGGGGTGAAACCAGGCAACAGGCAATATACTGACTTTGACTCCTGACGGCCGGGGTTTTTTTATTTAGTTCTATTGTACAATAATGTTGGCTACATTTGCAAGAAACGTATGCAATCCTACCTCGTCTTGGTCATCAGTGTTTCCTCACATGAGACTACTTCAACCCCCATTCCCATTTCAGGAGTTAAAATTGAAAGTGATTTTCTAGTTTGGAGTATCAGTGCTCCTATTAATTGAGAGTGTCCAGTTAGCCTATAGTAGATCTTTACTGAGGTAAATGATATTAAAGACTGAAGAAACAGTTGAACATGGTGATACTCTTTACCTCTGTAGACATCTGACGTTATTTTAACAGCCCAAATTTCAGATTCTTCTTCTTCAATGACAACTCTGATCTACTCTTCAGTCTTTTCAAAGGAGTCACTCAAACAGAAAGAAGATAGAGGACCTGATTTTCTGTAGGAATAACACCATTAAAGTTATAGCACTTTTTAAGTAGCGTATTTAGCTAAGTATTATCCAATATTAGGATAAATAGATCTAGTTGTGTCTTGGACTCTGGTTGATGCTTTTCAAGTGGGAAATAATTTCTGAAAGAGCTTTATGTATTTAAACAGACCACTTAAATAGATGATTTTGAAAGACACATTGATTTCTATCTCATTCTCAGATCAAATCTACCTGACTTTAGAATTACATTTTTTAATGTGAAAAAATCTTGTCTAATCATAGTTAAGGAGCTATATCTGGATTTCTAAATGGGAACTCTGAAGCTATGTATATTTTCAGATTTCTATATCTGCAGTGACAGTAAAAGCATCTTGAGAAGCTGAGAATCATCTCATGACTATGAAATATGCAGGTATGCAATGCATATATGTCAATGTGTCATATACACATATTGTCATACACATACACCAATGACCTCAAAATGGGTCATTAGAAATTTTCACAGTGACATCAATGGGACAATATCGAATGCTTTTAAAAATGTCATCCCTAAATTTAAAAGCCTATTCCTCTCTAGTAAATAGCTAAACAATAGTAAATTCTTCCTTGAAGAAAAAATTACAGTACATCATCCACTTGCCTAACCTTTTGAGTCATCACTAAACACATTGCTAAATAGAAATTTATATTTCTGAGCAAAACAGTTGTCTTTTTTTTTTCCAATACGGGAAAGAGAACAGAAATAAAAAGTAATAACTTTTTTCAAGCACTGCAGAGCCTAATCACCTATTTACTCAGACAAATTCCCCATTGAGACCACCAGCATTTTTATATCAATAACTACTAATTAATTTAATAATATAAGAGTATTAGAAAGAAAGACAGAGAATAAAAATTAAAGCTTGCAATATAATTGGCTATATATTGTACCATTGCATCATTCTGCAATATTGTCATAGTTATATTCATTTTTCACTGGGAACTATAAATCTAATTTTTAGATATTCTAAAAAAAATACATGTTTTTCTCTCTATATACCCCATTATTTCACCCAACTCATTCTGTATTTTCTCCTGGATTGAGCTGATTCACAACATGCACTATAAATTTTTTCTCATCCTTCAAGTCCACTATGGAGGATTGCCTGATTACAGACTGAATCTCCAGAAGAAACTACAGAAGTGTCAGTAGGTGCTGTGTTCAACAGAGCAGGACTCCCTACTTTAATGAAGACAGTTCTTCACTAAAGGGAGATACTATCTTTTCTTATATGGCATACCTGATTTAAATCATGATGATAGTAAATGAAGATTTACACATGCTCAAAGAAGGTGGAATTTTAGCAAGGTACCAGTTTAAAAAGATTTCAACAAGAAAATTCAACACAAAGCCTCAACATTGTACAAAACAACTTCTGAAACTTTATTGTGAATTTTAAAGTACATTTAGAAAGGATCTTATCCTTAATGTCATTAATTAAAAATAAATTTGAAAGAAATCAACATACTAGTAGTTTAAGCAAAGTTCAGTACAGACTTTTTGAAGTCACAATATATACATTAATAAGAGTGCAATAAGCTTCCAATGACATTAGGTATATATTTTTAAAATAAATACTAAGAGTTTTGATTTGACATGTGAGAGAGGCATACTGTTTACATTGAAAATGTTTTACAAAATATAGCAAATTAAAAATGGAATTTAATACATTTTGAATGTACAACTACTTTATATCTTATTTTATGTAGTTCTTAACTCAAAGTGGACAAAGGTCCATTTTATACAGGACACCTGTTTATTTGCACTGTCCAACACTGATTAGAAACGATAGTTTTAAAGATTCATTACTATACATATCAGTGATTCTTATTCAAGTCAATGGCCACTACAATGAAGAAAATATTACAGAATCATTGACAGCATCTTCTTCTCTCCTAAACTATGCATAGATAAACACATAGCAATGGTGCCTACTACTACAATAAAAGTGAAACACTTCACCTGATTTTTGCAGCTATTATTTGCATAAATATAATGCATTATATATATATTAGTTTATTTAACAATCAATCGATTGCTTATTTAACACTCAGTAACATATAGAAGTACATACACTGCTATCCTTAAATATTTTCCACTCTGTAGTGGCTCATAAGATTCAAAAAATCAACATTGTAAATTTGCAATTCTCAACCTGGGGGAAGAGTATCCCTCAGATGGACTGATACTACTTATACATGTTAAACCATATTATGAATCCATTGCCTCCACCTCCAAAATACATAACAGGAGTAATATAGTATACTGTGGCTACTAACTACTGCATAATAATTACATAGGAAATTGTCACATCAAATGTTTTACATTTATGATTACTCATACATTATATCACACATGGGGGAAACTTCTTCTAACAGCTGGACCTCCTTTTCCACAGTTTTTCATGTTTTAGAGAAAAACCATCACACAGTGACTAAGTATGTCTCCAGAAGTATGCCAGATGTGTTTCCTTTTTCAAGATCTGAGCGTGAGCAGCAACCCATTAATTATTTTACAATCAGAATGTAAAATTACATATTTAAAGAGAAAGTGAAGTTTTCAGCACCATAGTTATACAAACCATGTATTTGGGGTGTGACACTGTCACTCAAAAGTGTGGAAAAAGCAGACCCAAAAATTATTATTATACCAGAAAATAATGAATTAAAAGTTGTACTTTCCCCTCAAACAGAGCACAGTAGGGTTACGTGAGTTGCATTTAACCACCAAGCAACGCGTTATCTGAACAGCTCAAAGCATTGCAAAGGACAGGACAGTTTTGCATTCATTATTGCTAGGATAAAAGCAATACGCTGAAATGTGTAATAACCAAAAGTGGATTTTTAAACATCAACAAGGACTCCTGAGACATTAAGATCTCCAGAAGAAAGTGAGCTATTTCTTTTAAGCACGCTGGTATGGTGAAAAAAAAATCAAATGCTTATGTACTTCTCTAGGACTTATCTATCATAATTAAAATGAAGCTCTTGCACCAAGGAGTCTCACTATCTTTTCAAGGTAACTGTCTCTTCGATGCGGAAAAAGTTTAATTCTTTCTCTGTAAAACATTGTTCAACAGCTGTGATCATTTAGAGGGCAGAAACTCCAATGCAAATATACTTTTGGCTGGGCTTCTAATCCTAGAATGCTGCTTTGCTTTTTCATGCTAAATGTAGTCGGCTAGGTTTCAGTCTCAAAACAGATGGAAGTTCAGCTGACATCCCTGTTAACAGGGTTAAGTAGGAAGAAAGGCTAATAACTTCTCATCCACTTCGTAGGTTTCATTTTTCTGTCCGGTAACCCACTAGAAATTTCATGGGGAAAAGGTATAAATATATGCACCCTGATTTTGCCATAATATCCATGCAAGAAGAGTGCAGCATGCTCACTGCCTTCAGTCACGCCACACGTACATGTCTACCCCCACGCAGCAACACACACGGTCAGACTTACGGAAAGCATCAGGAACCCAAAGGGAAGGGAAACGAGAAGTCCCTGGCTTGGATACTGGAGAAAACAAAGCTTTAGGGAAAATGCTAATGATGCACTGACAAGCTGTACTTTAAGACTTATTTAAAAAAGTAATAACCAGAAGCTTAACCGTCAGAAATCTGCTCAGTGTTTCTGTATTAGAATGTCACTTTAGGTTAATAATAAATATTTCAGCTTACATTATGTAGCACAATTTTTTCTCTATTTCTGTTTTAAAGACACAAAATAGCCCACCCCTTACTAACTGATATCTTCAAAGAGGATAACAGAAGCCTCCCAGGATCCTTGACAGCTTAAGTATATGGTAGGAATTGTTGACAATTACATTTGCTTCTCCCAGGCTGCAGAAAGGATGGCTAATGGAATTAATGAATCGTTTGCTGTTCCGCTAGCAAAAAGTCTAAATAACAACATGACCTTCAGTCAACACTGCTGAGAAAGTGCTTCCTTAAACAATTCATAATACATGAGAGATGACTTCAGACAGCAGTTGATAAATGTGTTAGTGATTTTTCTTCTTTAATTTTCTCTCTCTTGTTTAGAGAGAGAAACCTAGATAAAAGTTTAACCACTTGCTATTTTTCCTAGTGATTAAATTTGGACAAAGGAAAAGCGTCTTGCTCTAAAGGCTAAATTCAGCTATCAATCATGAACAAAATATATATTTAAAACTGTTCCACTTACATTAAAAAAAAAAAAAACCTCCAAAGTTTAGATTTATGTTAAAGAGGCAATAATCATTTTTAATAGATATGTTCCTTTTAAAAGAAAAGTTAGAGTTTTAAAAATTAAGCTAGATAACTCAATTCTTGCTTCACCTTGTTTCTGTGTCATGCAAATCCAGTGCTATCAGTGGTGTCATTTCTGCTTTAAATGAGTGTGAAAAGAAACCAACTATTAACAGACTTCTGATGTTTCATAGTGCTAACGGTTTATTAGAAATACACCAATATCTCACGAGAACTTGGGGCTAAGATTGTTTTGAAATAGATATTTATCAAAGGGATAGAGAGGGTTTATTTAACATCATGTTGGCACATGAATGCAAACCTCAAACCTATTTTATACACATACATACATGCACACACATACACACATACATATATATATATTTCAAGAGAGAGATATAGATATATTTTAAATTCCAAGGCTGGAAACAGACTTACTGAATAGGAATTATATTCTTTAATTATCTTTAAGAGTTGGACTAACCCTACATTTTTAATCTTTTTTAGGATTTAGTTTAGCAGTATAATAGGTTATAGCAGAATATAAAATGATTTAGTACAGTGCCTACAATCTACCGGTGCTTAATATAGTTGATCATTGAAATACTTAAAATGATACTATTAAGCGATTTACGTAGTTGATGACATAAATGATTATGACAGCGTTGGCCACAGAGTTGCATTCCGCTCGACTTTCACACACTTTGTTTGAAGATATGCATGTGTAAAGATCAGTAGCAATTGCCAATTTGCCTGATCTACCACATCACCATAGAAAAACTGCTATAGATTTTACCCCCTCAGGTGCAATTTTGTCATACTCCATTAATCCTTTCAATCCTCCCCCAATCCTGTGGGCTTGTTGTATAGTAATCCCCGATTCTTGTGGTGAAGGAACATTGGAAAGTCTCTGCTGTCCGCAAGGCACAATATTACAATGGTAGTCTGTTAAATTTGGCTCTTACAATTCCCACTTGGATCAAGCTGGCTTGTCACAATCGTTACCAATAACCATAATGTCAGGACAAATTATCACCAACATCCAGAATGTCAATTTAAAATTAATTTTGTGTCTCACAAAGTGCTGCCTCTTCAGTACCCAGACAAAGGCAGAAGTCCAGCTGTATTTTTAAGGAGGGGGAAAAAAACCTTAAATCAACACTTCGTGTAGAGTAGCTTCATTCACTTATGCATGTCAGGTTTTCTGTTTTCAACTCCCAACGGGGAACTCTCGCACATGATTGCAACCTATTGTGCACCAGAACAACCTAGCTTTCTTCCACTGGAATCTGTTAAAGACAGATTACTGGAAGCATTCCTTTGCAGGGCTTCTCTAGTCAAACACAAGAGTCTCTATAAACACTACTGGTTCACTTCTTAAGTCAACATTTTTACGCTGCAAAGTATTCTGTCTGGATCTCCTTCTCACATACACACACGTGTGCACGTGCACAAACGAAGCCACAGTGTTTCTATGCCAAAGCAAGTATGTGTATACCTATCCTTTTTTCCATTTATTTAGAAGTTAAATTCATCTATTTCTTTGGGGAAAAAACAAATAAAAACAGTAAAAACTAACCTTTCTTTGGACTGATGAATTTAAATCTGTAAACCTTGGTTTAATTCTACTGACATGAAAAAGTAACAGCTGCAAGCTCCTACCCAGGATTTGTGATTGATTATCTAGTGAACTCTTTAGAGAAAAGCTTGTTTGCTTATTAGTTGTACTAAGGTCTCTGTTCAAAGACATATACAACTGCAATCTCTAATGAAGAAAAAACTGTCTCAATATTTAGACATTTTAATTCTGAAATTAAATAAAAGGGAAATAAAGAAGCAAATCAATCACAAAAATAATAAAACACCCAAATCCTCAAAATCAACTATGAAATTGAAAAGAAATTGAAAGTCTGTTATCTCAGATATTTAATATTGTAAAATTTTATTTCTTGCATATTACTTGTCCTTTTAAAATATTTTATTTCCAGTATTATCTCATATTATCCTTTAGAACACCAAGACCTTATGCTTTGCACTAAAATAGCAGTCATGAATGCGACTACACGATTTACATGCTCTGCACACACTAGTCAAGTTTGTTAGTATACTGTTGCAAGACTCAGTCTTTCTCACTCAGGGGCATTGTGCATACTACGTCCAGATTGCTGAGCTAGTTTTACGTATTTCTTTGATGTATGAGGTGTGTAACATGTTCAAAATCCTACACAGAAGAATCATATTTAAGTCTGATGTGAATACACTCAAGTCTAAACCAAACTTAACACATTCATTACTGAAAGAAAACCGGCATTACTTTATATCATTAGTCTGACAAACAGCATTACAAGCTTGAAATGTCGCTGTCAAATTTCAACATTTATAGTATTAAACTTAACCAGAAATGATCTACGAGGAACACCAGTCGTGTCACCTTGTGTGCTTTACAAAACTGTTCAAAACAGTGAGGATACTCTTACGGTAAAACACTTAGCAAAATGCAGTTTCTCACATGAAGATAAAAGGCTCAAAAGCAATTAGCTTAGAAGATCTTAATGCTGGCTAAACAACTGTACATGTTCAACATCTATCAGAGAAATCTGACTAGGAAAGAAGCTTCGGGTGTCCAGCTCCTGACAGCTCAGTTTCAGCACCAACACTGTGGTTCCCAGACTGAGAGCTAGAAATACTTTTCAAGCTCTGACAAGAGGAAAGTTTCATGCGATTCCAGTCCTGAAGACTTTCACAACGAGAAATAAATAACTAAAATGCAAGTAAACCCAAATGGAATAAGCAAGACTCATTGGACATATCTTATAGTCTCTTATAATTAGAGACACTTTCCCTTTGCGTGCTAGCCAATGCTTTAATGACATCCCTAGCTGTTTTAGTTCTCACTTGAGACTGTAAACAGCATGGACACAGTCAGCGATGGGCTGCTAAGGAGCCCGGCAGTTACAAACTGCTTATCCCTTCTGCCTTCAGTCATGCTTTTGTCTAAAGGCACTCCTACAGCATGCATTCACCTCTGATGTACATATACCATGGGTCTTTAGGGGATAAGCTTCCTGTTGATTTGGACTGCAACTGTTAAGACTTTCAGACAGGGTTCATTGGAACATTTGGCATCTGTTTTTATCCTGTAAAATAAATCTTCAGATGTCATTAAGTCAGATCCTCAACTGTTTTCATAAACAAAGAGATCCTCCAGTACCATCTGAGGACTTTGTTCACCTTTTAACTTGAAAATGTAAAAGAGTGAAATTTTGGATTATTCTTTCGGATTATTCTAAAGAGAAGTAGTATTGGTCCTGCCCAAAGTGCAAAAAATGATTTTGAACTTCCTATGTCACCCTAGCTGTTAGCTATATGCCAGTGCATGTTCTCTAGGCAATATGAATAAAGTACCTTTGGCCAACTTTGTTTCTTTTCTCTGAGGTAAAGTCCTTGACATATCTCAATAGATATGTATAATCCTGTGTACATACATGCACACATGTACACATATTTCTGCGCACATATCTGTGCATGTACATGCATAGTAATAAGGCAAAATGATGAGTGACATCATATGCTCCTTGCTTGAATTATTGTTAATAATAATAATAAATAACATTAATACAAATTAAATAAGTAGCTAAAACAACGTGAGGTACAGTCACTCTTATGCACCAGAAGAATCACAAATCTGGAATGAAGAGGTAGTATAAAGCTTGATCAAAGCAGCCAGTTCCTGGAATTTTTCTCCACATAAAACAGCACTTACAGTTTTAAGAGAGTGTGGCTGAAGCCTTGCTCATTTTTTTCAGATTAACTATTGTCATCACTAGTGTTTCCATTTAAAATGTTCTGACCTCCAGATCAGATCAGCTTTTAGGTTAGGTAGCAGACAATATTCTTAGGATTTAGTTCTGTGAACCTCATGAGCCTGACATGAGTCAAAAAGGTAGGCATTTCAAAAGGACTTAGCATCAATTATAAAATTCCCCCAGATTTTAACAGAAGAGTTTTGCTAACCCTAAATAGCTGATACAATCCTCATCCCCTTGTGAACTTAAGATGCAGTCACCTTTGTGCGCAGAAGACA